CTTTTTGATTAAGGGAGCTGGGTGTGGGATGTGGAGGGGGATGGTGTTGTTTGTGCATAGTTGTGACTGTCAAGATAGCATGTCTGTTTTATGGTCTGCTTGTATAATAGAGATTGTGTGGCATCCCTCGAATTATGTACAGTGACCTTGAAAGTGACTTTTTGTGTGTTGTCTGCAGTGAATTTGTTCGAATTCAAAACGTACCATGAAGTTATCGACGAGATCTACTACAATGTGAACCATCTTGAGCCCTGGGAGAAGGGTAGCAGGAAGACAGGAGGACAAACTGGGATGTGTGGAGGGGTAAGTTGGTTGCATGGAGGCCTTCATTGTTGGTAAAGACTTAATGCCTTTTAAACATGACACAAAGGCTGCAAAAGGCCTCTGCACACCATATTGGTTATATGGTGTTAGTGGTGTAGGATGTCTGTTGTCCTTTTGCACATGCATGTAATTAAAACCCAGGGACAGCCAGCCTGCAGCATGGACTTGCTTCAGAAATATAGCTTGGCAAGGCAAGTGATGTGCAATGCTTGGTCATTGTCACTGACTAGGTGGTGACCAGGTGACAGTTGGCTAACCAGTGCTGGTCGCCATTTTCACCAGGTGCGCGGCGTTGGCGTGGGCGGCATCGTCTCCACAGCCTCTCCTGCCTCTACAGCTGTTCACTCTCCGCCTGACCCCGCAAGCAGTGTGAACGCCCTGCTGCCTACATCACACCGACTCACCGTACCTGCGGGCCTGGGCTTCATGTACCTCAGGTGGTGGTACCTGTGGTATTGTCATCGTTGACAGGGGCTACGGAGGAAGTCAGCAGAGGCAAAGGCTAGGAAACTGGACAGTCTCGGGACCCAAAAACTCACAGTGTGGTCATGGATCTGGTTTCCAAGAGTGTTGGTCTTGGCGAGGCTAGCGACCTCAGTGACCTTAGTGACCTTGGTGACCTCGCGGCCTATGGCACTGAAAAGTTACCAAATAATTACTAATTTGACAGTGTGTGGTTGCACGACGCGCCGGACGTATTCTGCTGCATGTGACTTAGTGAAGGGAGCATCTTTTTATGTATGCTGTGCCGTGCGCCTCCCGCACGCGAACGGGCTGGCCTGGCGCGCGGCGTCGCTCCTGCTGGCGTCTGTCTGCTCGGCTGACGGCCCGTCCGCTGCCCGGCAGGTACAGCAGCCGCCGGCGACCTTTGGGGATGGTTTGAGCCCCGTACCTGGAGGACGAGGAGGGTAAGGGCAGCGCTGGCGGCAGCGGCGGCGCGCGCCGCTCCACGACAGCGGACGCCGTACTCTGGGACGGGGCACAGTCGAGATACGCGCCCCGGTCAGATGCCGCACGCGCTCCTTGATCATCGCACCACACGAACACCGCACGAACAAAACCACAGTGGTATAAGTGTTTCGCCCTGAAAGGTCAGTTTAAAAGGTGCAAGTAAGGATGCTAAAATAGTCGGAAGCACGCGTTATCTGACAAGTATTGTTGAAAATTACCGGACATTTAAATTGGTATCTTTCCCGCAATCAGTGCGGCCTGATAGCTAGAGACACAGGCCTTGGTCCCAGCGCTCAGCAGCTAAAGACGCCATTTGCGAGACACTAGCAACGATAGCAGGTGAAGGATATTCTGAAATTGAGAGATGTGTGTTCGTGTTCCAGGGGCTATCATGGAGATATTTTCCTAGGCAGATGAAGATTGGCTGCAAAAACAAAAAAGATTCAAATTATCATAGATCTGCAGCGCAGCAAAAAAAAAAGTTCATAGATGTTATTTGATACATATCACGGCCTTTTTCAAATTGACATGCTGTGCGTATGAAGACCACACAAGCGACCATACCAGACGAGCATTACCCGGTGCTCGCGTCCGCACCAACACTCTAGTGAGCCTCGCTTCAGCTCCTTCCACCAGTAATCTCAGCTGACGGCTATGTATTTCGGCGCGTGTTTGGCCGGTGCGGCTGCGGGTGTCTCGGGTCCCACCATGCCCTCCCGTACCGGGCCGGGCCGGCCGGGCCGGTCTGTGCCGTATTTGTGTCTACCGCGCCTGACTCTGTGTGTTTGGCACATTGCGCGGCGGTAGCGGCGACGGCGGCGGCAGCGCGGCCGCTCGGATGACCCTGAACCGGCCTGTGCTCTGTTCCGACAGGGAGCTCTGCGCCGCTCGGAGACGCCACGGACCGTGCGCCCTCGCAAGTAATCAGGCAACGACGCGGGGTGGGCCGGCCTTGTCTTCGCTGCCTCACAGTACGCGTGCGTGGCGCGCGCGGGCGCGGTGGCGCGCCGCGTCCGGTCGCGGCGCGGCCCTGTGCGCTCTCTTGTCAGTCAGCAGTGCCGTCGGTCTGGAGTTGGCCGCGCGTGGCCGCCGCCGTGCGCTGGCGTCCGCCGCTGACGCCGCCGCCCTCTGCCCTCCACCCGCAGATGATCGACGTCAGGGCTGGAGGCGGCGAGGAGATGACCGTCGGCGTCATGGTGCGCAAGATGCTGGTCAAGCTGGACTGGTACGGCACGCTGTTCCCCCGCATCCCCGTGCCGATCCAGGTGAGGTCCGCGCTCTCCTCACGGAGCAAGCGGTCCCCACGTCCGCCGTAATGAACGACTGGGGAACAGCCTCGTGGCCTGGTGATGATAAACGGCCATGATAGACAGATTTCTCGATCACGACGGCGATGATGTAGCCTGCTATTGTGGTGTGTGTGTGGTGCGAATCATTTGATTAGCTGTATGTTCATGGAAATATTTGCGTTTCCAATATAATGAGGCGCCTGTTTACGTTTACTAGACACCGTGCATCATTCCTCATTAGGCGTTGTGACCGGAGCACTCAGGGCAGCACCAGTTGCCAGCCTTGCGGTGCAAGTAAATGAAACCGGCGTTGGCACTGAGAACGGAAATGCTTGGCATGTGATACTATTGCAAGCTGGTCCAATTTCCAAACCATCCGACTCACCGAGCACTTTTTGCACGTATTGTTGCAAGCATGTTTCAAGGTAGCGGAAGGCCGTACGCTATTCCATTTGGCGTTCAAATGAAGGGGCTGTTATGGGAAAACGATATTAGTTTGCGTGGTGTGTTAACGTCGCGTCCCGTGCTGGTACCTCCACGGGAGCTAATTTCACCAAAAGTGGATGTCTCCCTTTCATGCATCAGCAAACAGGGAGCGATCCCAGGCGACTTAAGGTCGAAGGCTTTGGGACACATCGGGTCTCACATAGGACTTAAAGCCACATATACCGATGGGGTCCAAAAACGGAGGTAGGCGTTGGTGCTGCATTCATAAATGGCCAAGCCATTCGGTCACTTTCTTTACCGAAACACGCCTCAGTGTGCACCACCTTGTCCCACTGTACAAGATAATAACGAGCTTGCTGACGCGGCCGCAAAATGGTCAGCGCGCGCACCTTGCGCCTGCTCTCTACCCTTGCCGGCAAGGAACTTTTTCCCTGCCATCACGACATATATGAGGTAGAAGTGGCAACGCTGCTGGGACGCGACTGTGAGCAATAAGTTAAAGGTGATCAAGCCACAGCTGGGTCCATGGCCGTCAAGCTCGCGTCAGTTGAGACGCAAAGAAGTAATTCTCAGCAGGTTACGGATTGGCCACACGCATGTACCGCATAGCTACCTCTGCTGCGTTGAAGAACGGCTTAAATGTCATTGTGATGCGCCACTTACGGTTCGCCACGTTATTTCACTCTTACCCACAGTTCCGCAAAGAGCAGGCGCCTGGAGCGGAGCGGGCGCTTGGAACGAGACACCTCAGGTCTCACCTTTTCAGACATTAGTGGTGAAGATTCTCGTATGCTCGGCACGGAACAACTGTTCTCATTTTTGACAAGCGTAGGATTGACAGCCATTTCTACACTTTGGTAGCAAGTTAACTGTTATGGACGTAGAATGGCCTCAGAAGTCGGCGCACCCTAAAACCCCAATGACCATTATCATCAACGTAGTTAGACACCTGCTGTCGATCACTACACCCACACTTCGTCTTCTGAGCGCACGCTTCCAACCCAGTGACGACCCCAGAAGGACCTGTACGAAAGCTTGCGCAACAATGCACCATTGACCAGGATAATGTCTCCAATGCATATCCCAGCGCGTGATCCTCCGTCACGCCGCGGCTCCCCCTCTCCCCCGCTGACCGTGTGCTCCCTTCTGTTGACCGTACGCTCCCGTCCGCTGACCGTGAGCTCCTGTCCGCTGACCGTGAGCTCCCCTCCACTGACCGTACGCTCCTGTCCGTTGACCGTAGGCTCCTGTCCGTTGACCGTACGGTCCTGTCCGTTGACCGTACGCTCCCGTCCGCTGACCGTGAGCTCCCTTCTGCTGACCGTGAGCTCCCTTCCGCTGACCGTGCCCTCCCTTCCCGTAACCGTGCGCTTCCCTCCACTGACCGTACGCTCCTGTCCGTTGACCGTACGCTCCTGTCCGTTGACCGTACGCTCCCGTCCGCTGACCGTGAGCTCCCTTCTGCTGACCGTGAGCTCCCTTCCGCTGACCGTGCCCTCCCTTCCCGTGACCGTGCGCTCCCCTCCGCTGACCGTACGCTCCTGTCCGTTGACCGTACGCTCCTGTCCGTTGACCGTACGCTCCCGTCCGCTGACCGTGAGCTCCTCTTCGCTGACCGTGAGCTCCCTTCCGCTGACCGTGCCCTCCCTTCCCGTGACCGTGAGCTCCCTTCCGCTGACCGTGTGTTCCTGTCCGCTGACCGTGCGGGCCATGTGTTGCAGATGAAGGTCCAGAAGCTGCTGAAGGAGCGTTTCCCGGCGATCGGGGGACCGCAGGCAGGCGAGACGCCGGTGGCGCGGCCGGTGACCCCTGCCGAACGGCCCTCGCCGCGCGAGCGCAGCCCCGGCCGGGACCAGAACAGGTCGGTGCCCCTGCTTGCGGACGGCGCTGCTGTGAACGGTGCCTTAGCGTGGGTCGCTAGAGCGTTGGTGATTCGCTAACTGGGCGTTATATCGGATGGAAAAAGTTAAATGCAGTCGATAGAAAGCATGCACGTGGTTTGAATTGTCCACACGCAAAAATGGTGGCACTGAAAATGCTCCAGTGGTAAACGCTTGTGGGGACTAACGCTTATTAACGCTGGATAAACGCTTGTAAACGCTAGGTGGGAACATCGAAATAGAAAGTGTTCGAATGGATGGGTGTCGTTTCAACCCATATAAATTGTAGTTTCAGCATTTTTCTTTTTCTGCAGAACATTCATTGTCATGTCGGTTTGTCGGTGTGCGATAGTTTCCCATGTCAGTAGTTATCCCTATGGATTTTTTTGCCAGTCGTCCATCACTCATTTCATTATCTGTGACTGTCTCTTAGTAATAGCGTGTATGTGTGACACTCAGTACGTTTCCGGCACGATGGAATGGAACAATTTTCCATTTCGATTCTTGTCGATATTTTTATGCTGTCAATAATCTGGGTTCTCCATGATTTCCGCTCTGTTTTTCTGTCAATCGTTTATCATCCGTCGTTTGGTTTTACGGGCGTGTCATGATACTAGTAACAGGGGACCATCCGGGGCGATCTGTAGTCCCTAAAATGTGCCACGCCAATTACAGTTGACCTTTTAGTTCCGTAGCGTGCGTTCAACGTTGTTGCCTATCGGCCTTACCCAGACGAAAGCCTGCGTGGTGTTGTGGGGAATCCGGCTGGCTTCTCTGAGCTGTCTCATCATCGGAGTGTGCGACTCGTGGCGCTTGTGTTCAACACTCACCGCGCCCTCCACGCGGCCGCATGGGATCGCCCGCGGGCGGGCGGTCGCCTCCGTGGCCGTGGGGGTGGCAGTGGACCGGCCCCGCTGACACTACCGCCGTCCGCAGGGCGCCACAGGCACGCGACATCGCCGAGGAGATTGCCATGGAGAAGGAGCGCATCCGACGCGAACGCGACCCGGACGCCGGTGCCCGGGAGGGGCGCGGCGGCAGCCGGGGCCGCGAGCACCAGGACGGCCGCGGCCGCGAGCGGCGCGACAGCCGGAGTCGAGACCGCCACGATGGCAGAAGTCGAGACCATCACGACAATCGGAGTCGAGACCACCACGACAGTCGGAGTCGAGACCACCACGACAGTCGGACTCGAGACCACCACGACAGCAGGAGTCGAGACTACCAGGACAGTCGAAGTCGAGACCACCAGGACAGTCGAAGTCGAGACCATCAGAACAGCAGGAGCCGCGACCAGCAGGAGAGGCCGCGGGACCGCCAGCGAAGCCGGAGCCGCTCCCGGGAGCGCCGACGCCGCCGTAGCCGCGAACGGCCCGGCAGCAACGCCAGGAAGGAGCGCGGCCAGCGGAGCCGGAGCCGGAGCCGCGAGCGGCGCCGCTCCCGCGAGCCGGAGCGGCGGCACCGGGGCGGCCGCAGCGGTAGCCGCGAGCGCCGCCGGTGAGCGGTGGCCGTCGGCTCCGCTCGACATGGGCGCAGGAGAGCGACGGTGCGGACAACGCGGGTCACGACAGCGGTCCGCTAGGCCGTCGGCTCCGCTCGACATGGGCGCAGGAGAGCGACGGTGCGGACAGCGCGGGTCACGACAGCGGTCCGCGTGGCCGTCGGCGGCAGCGCGTCGTGGCAGCAATGGCGGGTGGCGGGCCTACGCACGGGACAATCACCCCCGGACCGGGGGCATCTGAGCGCCACACGACCTGGGGCGTCCCGGCGAGGTCGGGGCCGTTCGCGCGGGTTCGAGTGCGGCCTCGCGCCGACCGCGCCCGCTCGCCGCAGCCATGTTGTGCGTGCGGACTGGGCCGACCGCGCCTCGGACGCGATGGTGCGTCCGCGGCCCGCGGCCGTGATCTCACCGCTAGTGGGACGTACAAAACCGCTTGGTGGCGCGCGAGCCAGTGATCGGGGCGTCCAGTGGCGGTGCGGCCGGCCTCGCCCCACCGCCGATGTCAGGTCGTGACCTGTCCTCATGCCACGTGGTGTCGTGACTGGCACGTCGCGTGGTGGCGGTGGTGGCGAATGATCGGTTTTATATGGCGCGTGCAGCGCGGGCTCTGTTGCCGTTGTGTTGCTTTAGCCTGTTCACCCGCCCGACAGATGGGTGCGTTCCAGTGCTGGGTGAGGATTCGCCATCCGAATGTACGCGAAGATGTGGATTGACCATACACCTAAGATCGGCGAAATGTCGTTTGTGGTCCGGCACAAAGTATCCGACCCGCGGGCCCATGCTACGGAGGATAGGAAGGTGATGTGGACAGTAATAGTTGGCTCTTCACTGCTAGAAGTATTGCATCGTCTCACTACCGCAACAAAAGTTTTCGCTCCATCTTGAAAGCGACACCTGCAATATCACTCCCCCCCCCCCCTCCCCTCCCCCGCCACGAACAGCGTAGAGCGCAACATGCTGCTGTACCAAGCCCGAGTCCCTACATCGGAGCAAGTGTCATCAAGCGCTCTGAGCTGCCAACTGAATTCAGCACGTTAATCCTACATGGATGAAGATCGAGTGTGGGCACTTGGCGACGCGCAGTCTCCGGGGGCGCATCTCACTCGTGATGTAAGGGCGGCAGGCGTCTCTAAGCTGTATGTTCCGCTGTGGATCTATCTGTACGGTACGCGGTTTTATGGGTCAGCAGGTCTGCTCAAGCTGCAGAGGCATTCCGGACGGAGACACGACTCGCGCCACCAGAATGGAACCCTCGCGGATGTGTAAAGCCTATGTGCGTGGAGTGAAGCCGATATGCCAATCGCCAGACAGACGTCGCTTTCTGTATGATTGGTTTCCCCATAACCACACGCTACCGCGATTAGGTAGAAATAGCGGGCTGGCAACTGCCAGCGTGGCAAACGAGCGCTCGGAGGTTGCGTTGCACGCTGCTGTGCTCGCTGGCAAATGTCCGCGAGTCAGGTCGAGTCGACAGAGGTAATGAATCACTCGCATCTATTCGTTGCTACGGCGGCTGCAGTTGGGTGACGTGCTGCTGACATGTTCGGCGCGCGCAGCGGCCAGACCCGCGGCGTCACGCCTCGCCCGAAAACCAGAGCCCAGGTCAGCTTGGCACGAGCGCAACACGGCACATCCACAACAACGGCTAGTCTCGGCAGGGAGCGGGGCGCAGTCGGCGCAGAGCCAACATCAGCTCGGCACGAGCACAACACGCCACATCCACAACAACGGCTAGTCTCGGCAGGGAGCGGGGCGCAGTCGGCCCAGGTCCCCTATCACAATGAGGTCAAGCACGCGGCACACACGCTCGCACCAGTTCCAATACAGGTCGAGCGATCGAGGCTGCGCGCCCGCGGCGGGCCCGGCCGAGCCGCAGCGCTCCCCTGAGATGGCAGACGGGCCGCACCGCCAGCCGACGCCGCCGCCGACCGCACTGGCGCCGGTTTGACCAGCACGGCGACGGCCGCCGGCGCGGACGCGCCTCGCAATACAGCGACGCCGGTCGTCCGGCGGCCAGGCGGCTACACGCCGGCGATGAAGGACGGCGTCTTGTACATCTCGTAGGCAAACTCCTCGTCGTGCTTGGGGTCCATCTCGAGCCCGATGTAGTCGATCTCCAGCTGGAAAGGGCCGCTCACGCCGGCGGCCGTGATGCCGATGCTGGTGATCCGGTCCTGCATCAGTGGGCACTGCTTGTCCTGGATTCGTCCCTTGCTCGACAGGAAGAACTTGGAGAACGGGATCTGCGGCGAGGCGCGGACGGTGAGCGGCGCGCTGCAGACTGCGTCTCCGGTGGATACTGGCAGCGGCTCCGGGCATGGCAGTCGGGAAATACACCGAAATGACTGTGGAATGTTGGCAACGCTTGTCAACACAATGGGGCTTGACGGGGCCGCTGACCACAACGGTCGCAAGCACATCAGCAGCCTCTGAGTTGTTTTTTTACCCGGTTTGGACAGTGCTATCACCACGACTACGCTTCACGGACGGGACGAGGCGACACCACGCACAGGCAGCGGCCGTCCGTGCGGCCCAATACGTCACAGGGCGAGACGCAGCTGCGAGTCGCGCGCTGGCGGCCTGCTCACGCGGTTCGGGACGGCGCAAGGCGACACCCACCCGAGACACCTGCCAGTACGGCCCGCCGCGCGTGTACAGCGGGAACGAGTACATGTCGTTCCACATGAGGTCGAAGTAGCCCATGGAGGCCAGGTTCAGCATGTAGGAGCGCCCGTCACCACGCACGCGCAGTACCACGTGCGTGTACGCCGACCAGTCGAAGAAGCCGTCCCGCTTGAAAGACTTCTGGAAAGTGGAAACGCGAGTTTTCAACGCGCTGTGTAGTGCGGTCCACCTGCTGGACGTGGCTGGCACCTCTGGAACGCCTCCAGTGACGTGTAGAGGATGCCTGATGACGAGCGATGTCTGTCCCCAGATGTCTGGCGCATATCGTGAGCACTGAATACAAATGAGCAGTGGGCCAGGGCAAGTGCATTTGCAGGCTTGGGTATTCCCTGACATTTTGTTTCAAGGAATTTAAATAAAAGATATAAAATATCATAAAATAAGTGTCACAGTTACGCTTTTGCAACACAAATACCAGACTTCAGCGCAGCACAGCACAACACTGTTCGTTCCAAAACAATTCGTCAAGGTCTCTGGTCACTCCTGTCCGCGCCAGCCCCGGCACATCTCACGTATACAACGCCACTGCGCAACGCCCTCCAGCGTTGTCATCGCGACAACGGCCGCATGACCCGACCGCACTCCTAGCCAACCCTAACGGCATCGGCACCCGTCCCACGCGGCGGCCGCAGCCCGGCGCGTCGGCCCCGTGCGGGGACGCGCCGGTCCCGTGAGGGAGCGCCGACGGACCTGCGGTCGCAGACAGCGCATGTTGCAGTAGCCGGCGCGCTGCTTGCTGCCGTCCTTCGGCGGGGTCGTGTCGAGCGTGCCGCGCAGCACGGCCTTGCCGTGGCGGCCGAGCACCAGCTCGCCCTGGCTCTGGCCGTCGCTGTTGTCGCGGTCGGCCGTGACGATCCAGCGCTCCAGCGCCGCCTCGCTGTTCAGCTGGAACACCGTGTCCACCTCGCCTGCCGGCAGCACACGCGAGAGCGTGAAGCGAGAGGACCGCGGTGGCGCCAGTACGGCCCGCCAGCCGGCTGCGCTCGCCGGCGCCGCTGGAAACGTGTCGCTGCCGGCGCGCTTCCGGCTTGGTCGGTTAGGCGCAGCTGTTTGACGTTGTCGAAGCTGTGGTAATGGGGCGAGTCACGCGTTACGCTGCCTGTACACGGACGGTCATGATCACTGCCACGCGTTGTGCGGACGCACACCCACCTGGTCGCACGAGAAAGAGAGGCTCCTTGGTGAATTTGTTCCAGAATTCGTCTTTCCACACACCCACTTCATGTTTCAGTTCTTTCAATCCATCAACTACCATCTGTTTGTCAGGAAGCGTCTTCCTCTCCCTTCCATATTCTGCTTTGATATCTCTCTCCCAGAATTTAAAAACTGGCACAGTCGTCCTCAGTTGCCTGACGAGCATTTCCTGGCAACCCGTGAATACAAGACTGCATAGCTTTCGGCCAGCAGCGGCACGTTTCCCTAGAAGACTCATGTCTGCAGAGCTACAGTGGGCATAGGGATGAACAGAAGACCCTGAAAAACAAAGAATCGTTTGATGTGCAGTGCAAGCAGTACAGAGATGGAGGCAACACACATTTCTGACAATATACAGAAAATTTGCATTGCAACATGATATAAAAATCATATTTTGAATAACAATATTGAGCTAATCATATACCCACCCACAAAACAGACAACATAAACATACTTCCGTGAGATATTGCCCATATCACCACAATGAATGCCAAAGAATCTTATGTTTTGTAATTGATGACTTAAAATGTCAAGCTAGTTGTGAACTGGCCCCAAAAGCAACAAACAGATAGTGTATAGTAAATTACCAGCACCAAAACCAAGACGTTTACATGTTCCATGGCAACTGACAGCATGTCAAGCATACAGACAAGAAATTGTCAACTCCACTTCGGCCCTTAGGCATTATTTCTTCATTCATATGAAGAAAACTTTCACCTCTGTACCCTGTAGGGAGATGATGGGCATGTGATCTAGGTTCACGGGGTATGATTCCCAGAGCAGGCACATTGACTGGCCACACTGGCATGGCAAAATCTGCTGGTAACTGGCTGGGTAGCCATGTCATGGTACTGTATGGCATGACAAACATGCTGCTGCTCTCCCTCATAATAACCCTCAAGATAGTCACCTGACGAAGGTATTACTGGGGTTGGGGTTCCAGGGCAGATGTGTGCCTGATTCCAAAGGGTAGATGAAGGATGCTGTAGGGTTCCAGGTTAATGAGATCCCCGGATTGGACTCTCAGTTTCTTTGGGGTTTCAGGCGCAAGCACCAGACAGGCCAGCACTGTCTGGTTCAGGGTGCATGCAACTAGCTTCGCTTGGTATCTTCTCTGGACAAAACAACTCACTCAAGATTTGTTCTATATTGTGTATCACAGCCGATACAGTCAGTCATACCATGTAAAACACAGAACATGCAGGGCTCAGCACAGGTGTTGATTTGTATTCTTTTGTGAGGGCCCTGGCCCCCCAATGTTGAGTCGGGCCTGGCCAATCTTGGCTTGCCCCCCCCCCCCCCCAAATCTTTTTAGCTGGAATACCACAGAAATGTGGGTAAAAGATTATCACAACACAACTATTGTCTTTAATCTTTCTGCATAGTGACATCTCATACCACTCATAACAAAAAGTCATTCTTGCTCTTAGCACAAGATACAAATCGCAACAGCTGAGCAGATAAACGACGCGAACAAACTTCACACACCTGGCACCATAAAACACTGATTTTTTAATAAATTTATTCTGGATGGCTTGCATGGGTGACTTCAGGCTCAGAGTATCCGCTAAGCATAGCTTATTGCGTGTACCCCGAACCCACCACCCAAGTCGTGCAGTCCAGTTCAATGGATAGTTTTGCCTCCGCCCTTTTGCCAGACAGGACTGCGGAGGTTTTTACGTGCCGCACAATGCTGCAGCACGGCCGCCCCGGGCCTGGGTTGACCCTTGTTGGCCAGTTGCCAGTTGACCTTTCCATGTCAGTCGGGTCAAACAATGCGCCCACTGTGGGACTCGTACCCAGTGCCGCTGGATTAAGAGCCCAGCATCTTTCCCCTAGACCACGGAGGCGACATTGGTTCGTGAAGTTAAAGAAGGCAGATTGGTTTGTGCAGTTTAAGTGCTCTGGCTGGAAGCTCTGAAATATGGGGATGACTTAAGTCCTTCATGGATAAACCTGCTCCATCCTCCCAACCAAATTGCATGTGGCCATCACTGGAGAGCACCATCGCGACCCTAATGTGGCATCAAAAAGGGTGTTTTCACATGCCAACCAGAAAAAGCATGCAGCCAGTGCCTGTTCCCTGGATCAAACCCTGCATGACTTCCATACTGCTTAAACCAAAGACTTAACTGTATTGGCTTTGCTACATGACTTCTATGTTGCTTAAATCAAAGACTATACTACTTAAATTAAAGTGGGATAATTAAATTAAATTAAATTAAATTAAAATTTTCAAAAAAATTAAATTAAATTAAAGTGGCATGGGCTAAATTTGGTGAGGCAAAATGGACAGTATGTTGGCAAGCCTTTGGTTTGGCCCCACAATGATTTACAAAAATTGACACCCCTAGGGCTTAGTACCTGCAACACAAACATTTCATGTTTGAAAAGGAGAAAGAAGTTGAGCACAAACCAGGAGCATCATCACACCGGGATTGTGCATGGAGATGACCACCTTATCTAGCACCAAACTGGTTCTCTAAAGGGCCAAAATGGCTGTTTGGGGACCAAGCCATTAGAATAATAGGATTTTATAGTGCATGTTGCAGGTTGCTTACTGCATTTTACCATGTAGTGCATCAGTGCAAGCAAGTATAGCAGTCATGTTAATATATAGCCACAAAAAAACACTGCTCAAAAGTCCAATATATGGGGCACCAAAGTCCAAGGTTTTATAAAGCCCCATCCCTTGATGCTGGCCAACTAATGTCATTCACAAAGTTATCTATGAAAACTATGTTAATTTGCCTGCTTAAGACGTGAGTTAGGGATTTGCATTCTGTCTGCCTGCTTTTAACGAATCAATGTACCAGACTCTTGAAAAATACGTATGCATATTTTCATAATGCTGTGTATGGCTCCCATGCCATGTTGTTGACTTTCTTTAACCAGCACACCCACCTACTGCAGCTAGACTTTTCCTTAAGAATGGTCAAAATGATATTGAGGGACCACTCACACTAGTAAAACCACTCTTTATTGCTTTAGCCCCGGCTTTTTATTTGGGCATCACTTTTTACTTTTCATCCGCTTTTGATGTCTCAGGTTATCACTTTAACACACTTCAGTACCTTTACAAATGAACAAAACTGCAAAATAGTATTTACATATTCACCCTCAGGGATCATCCACCATCACCAGGGGGAGGGGGACCACAATCTCCACTTCGGGTAAGCAGCTGGCGAGTCCTCGGAGCGGGCAAGATTCCGTCGTAGCACGTTCCACTCGGTGTTGTGGTTTCTCAGAAATCTAACAGTCCGACAATATATTTACGACAAAGCGACTGAAAATCGACAGATCAGTCATATTTTTATGCCAAAATGTGAGCGCCCATCCCAACCAAACAGCAGAACTGATCCCGATTGGAACACAGCCCTGGGTTACCGGGCTGCGTTGTTTAGTACATGTGCGTACTAAACTCCACTGTTTCTAGTATGAATCTGTACTAAGTACTGTTCCCCTCTTGGTAAGGATTCTGCTCTAGGGCCTTGGGTGAGGATTCGGACTAAATGTTGTCAAGGATGTGTTGCGTAACCCCGAATATGGACCTGAATCTGAACGTGAATGCCAAATTGACCAACGTGTAAATTTCGCCGAGGCGCGGTGTGCGGATAGAGCTGCGCCCGCTCCACTCGAGGCGCTGCATTGATGAGAGGTATACCGTTGTGCGATACACACGGTGAAGGGTGCACTATTCTTTATTTATCCCAGCTCTCTTAGGGTCAAGAATATGGGTATGCAAGTCACTCACAGAGTCTGCATGTATAGGCGAGCTTGTAGCACATTACACACATTACATACATAAAATGTACTCCACCCGAGGTTCGTTGTGCTGACATTCCAAAATAGGCAGGCCTATGCTTGTGGGCAAGTTTATACTCTGACTGCTATAATTTGTGTACCCTGCCACCAGTAACAAAACTAAATTTTCCACTGGAGTGAGCATAGACCTACATAGATCATCTTTGATCCAAAATAATTTGATTGTCTGCTCTTCTTATTCTTCCTCTTCATGGATCTTGTATCAATACATGCTACTGGTGTGTTAGGAGTCAGAAAGTATGCATGCATCTGCATACTAGGACTTGCTGCATATCTTATCACTTTGCTAATATCTACTAACAGCTTATGTTGGTGCAGATGTGCCATAATAGAGAATTTATTAAATATGATAATATTTCTAAGATTATGTTGCACTGTATTTCACAAGGCTGGATTCCAGTATATGCAACATCTTTAGACAACCTTGAAGGGGAATGTCAAGCTGCATGTTGTTGCACTGTAATTTTTGTCTGTGTGATTGGCAGAAAAAGCTTATTCTGTATCATGCCTGCCATCAAATTCAGAAAACAATTTATTCATTCAGATTGCTATTGTGATTCAGCATTTTTGTCTTTTTTGTTGGCAGGGTGCAGCCTGATTTAGTCAATTTTTTGTGTGCCAAATAGCATGAACAATATGTAATTGTTTGTCAGGCAATATCCCTGATGGTATAAGTCATTTTATGGAGCCAACTGTGTGATGCTATGCATGTGTGATGTGCTGGATGTTCTGACTGCTTTGATGCTAGTAAATACATTATTAAAATTTTGTTACTTACCTTGAGTCAAAGATTCCACTCTGCCAAGATGATGTTAAAATTATTCAAGAGCACACTTGGTGCAGGGTAGGGTGACCATTGAAATTTACTGATCTTAGAGCATGTCCTGCATGAGTTCTCACTTTGTTTCCTAGCTCTTGCCCATATGTGCATCTACAAATGACATCTTTGAAAGAAATCTAATTGCTTTTCATCTTTTTTCACGCATTGCAGCTAGCTTGTAGATGGCGATGCAGAACGCTTATGCTCTTCATTGGACATTGGGCAGCAGCTGCCGAGCTTGGCGGCAGTGGCGCCACCTATCGATGCAGGTGGCGCCACCTGTCAGTGAAGCGCTCAGGGCCCGCAATGCAGTGGTAGCCCTCGAATCTACCATCATCACGCACGGTATGCCGTACCCGCAAAATCTGGAGACCGCTCAGAAGGTGGAGGAGATCGTGAGGCAACAGGTAATGGCGTCATTTCGGGTTAACTGTGTTAAGCGCCAAGGCCACGGACGCTTGCTTCATTTTCAATCAATGCAGCTTGAGAAGATCCATCAGGCTGTTGAATGTATGCAAGTAAAGCTAGACATTGTGCGTTTTTATTATTTATATTTAAGTGTCTCCGCAGTGCAGACCCCGTCGTCAGCCGTGTCCGTCTTTTGACTGATGACTGGTCGCCAGGGTGCCGTACCGGCCACGGTCGGTGTCGTGTCCGTCCTCTGACTGATGACTGGTCGCCAGGGTGCCGTACCGGCCACGGTCGGTGTCGTGTCCGTCTTTTGACTGATGACTGGTCGCCAGAGTGCCGTACGGGCCACGGTCGGTGTCGTGTCCGTCCTCTGACTGATGACTGGTCGCCAGGGTGCCGTACGGGCCACGGTCGGTGTCGTGTCCGTCCTCTGACTGATGACTGGTCGCCAGGGTGCCGTACCGGCCACGGTCGGTGTCGTGTCCGTCTTTGACTGATGACTGGTCGCCAGGGTGCCGTACGGGCCACGGTCGGTGTCGTGTCCGTCCTCTGACTGATGACTGGTCGCCAGGGTGCCGTACCGGCCACGGTCGGTGTCGTGTCCGTCTTTTGACTGATGACTGGTCGCCAGAGTGCCGTACGGGCCACGGTCGGTGTCGTGTCCGTCCTCTGACTGATGACTGGTCGCCAGGGTGCCGTACCGGCCACGGTCGGTGTCGTGTCCGTCCTCTGACTGATGACTGGTCGCCAGGGTGCCGTACCGGCCACGGTCGGTGTCGTGTCCGTCTTTTGACTGATGACTGGTCGCCAGGGTGCCGTACGGGCCACGGTCGGTGTCGTGTCCGTCCTCTGACTGATGACTGGTCGCCAGGGTGCCGTACCGGCCACGGTCGGTGTCGTGTCCGTCTTTTGACTGATGACTGGTCGCCAGGGTGCCGTACGGGCCACGGTCGGTGTCGTGTCCGTCCTCTGACTGATGACTGGTCGCCAGGGTGCCGTACCGGCCACGGTCGGTGTCGTGTCCGTCTTTTGACTGATGACTGGTCGCCAGAGTGCCGTACGGGCCACGGTCGGTGTCGTGTCCGTCCTCTGACTGATGACTGGTCGCCAGGGTGCCGTACCGGCCACGGTCGGTGTCGTGTCCGTCCTCTGACTGATGACTGGTCGCCAGGGTGCCGTACCGGCCACGGTCGGTGTCGTGGACGGCCGGCTGCACGTGGGTCTGAGCCGCGCCCAGATGGAGCGGCTGGCGCGCCGTGACCGGCCGTCCGTCAAGACATCGCGTCGCGACCTCGCCTGCGTCATGGCCAAGGTCAGCCGCTGGGGCCGGGCGGCCCCCGGCGCTGACCAACCGGCCCCGGTGGCTGCTGAGCATTGAATGGTCCAGCTGTAGCGGTGTTAGTGAAGCGTACCAAGCAGGAGATGCATGCCGAAACTGGCCTCGAAGGATTAGAAACGGGCTAAACACGCATTTAGTAGGCGTCAAGCGCAGAGGTGCGGGCTTGCCGCGGAATCGTTTGGCTGAGAAAAGATATTGGGAACATCACCAGCGTTAGTCAAGTCATTAAGTAGCGGCCGTGTTCTGTCGGCTTTTCCGTGGGTCTCCTGGAAGAGCTATAACGGCGGTACCTGTTCCCTGGTGGAGGCGGTCCGGGTCACGTGTCCGAACCGGTGACTCCCGCACCGCCACCAGGGCTGGGACGGCGGCACCACGGTGTCCGGCACGCTGGTGGCCGCAGCCCGGGCCGGTATAGCCGTGTTCGTGACGGGCGGCGTGGGCGGCGTGCACCGCGGCGGTCAGCTGACCATGGACGTCTCGGCGGACGTGACCGACCTGGGCCGCTCCCCCGTCTGCTGCGTCTGCGCCGGGGTCAAGAGTATCCTGGACGTGGGCAGGACGCTGGAGGTGCTGGAGACGCAGGGTAGGCGTGGCGACCACGTGCTGCTCGTCATTCTCCTCCGTTTGTGCGACGAAACGTGCTGATGATGTCTATCCGTTCCTGCGTGTCTTGCGCCTTGCGTTTTGCGTAGCTCGATTTCGCAGCGATGTTTGCTACTTTGGAAGTAACCTCTCCCTGGCGTATGGGCCGGTGGTGCGTGCTGCCCTGCCGGCGGTGTGTGAACCGCCCCTGTTGGTGCCGGCAGGGGTGGCTGTCGTTACGCTCGGCCCCAGTGACCGGTTCCCGGCGTTCTTCACGGCCGACTCCGGCCACCGGTCGCCGCATCACGTGGCCAGCTGTGCCGAGGCCGCCGCCGTGCTGCACCAGCACCGGCAGCTGCAGCTGGAGAGCGGCCTGCTGCTGGCCGTGCCCATACCAGACCGGCACCGGGCCGAGGGGGAACAGTGAGTGTCCCTACCGGACAGGCACCGGGCCGAGTTGGAACGATGAGTGCCCATACAAGCTCTACAGCAGACCTAAGCAGAACAGTGGGCGACGACAGAGCACAGGGGGCCGGAGGGAGCTTTGTGTCTTACTGGTGCTGGGTGCCGAACGACTGAAGGCAGCTGATGTCTGGAGGCTGCAGCCGGCTGCCGACACAGTTACAGCTCGCTCAAATAGCAAGTTTTCTCAATAATTGCATCTCAATCAATCACTGTGGCTGGCCATTAAGGGTGGAGGGTGTTATGAGCCCGTAATACATGCTGGATGGTGGTCTACGCCAGGCCCCAGTCGACCGGTGTGCCTCCCGTGCGGTGACTGGGCGATGGCGTCAGCTGACGCCTTGTGGGTGGGATTCAGGCAGGCAGGCCGGCTGCCAGCGAGGGGCGGCCGTGTAACTGTTACCCTGCGTGTGTGTGTGTGTGTGTAGGGGGGGGGGGCTGAAGACACCGCAGCTACGCCACTAACCCCAGGCCCGATCGGCAGGATCGAGGAGGCGATACAGCGAGCCGTGCAGGAGGCCAACGAGCAGGGCGTCTCGGGCCGTGACGTCACGCCGTTCATCCTGTCACGTGTCAACCAGCTGACGGCCGGGGCCAGTCTGCGGGCCAGTATCCTTTGGCCGGCGGCTGGGAGCGGTGGTGCGCAGCCGACCCCGCCCCTCTCCGCGGCTGGGGGGAGGTGTGCACGGCGGGTCAGTTGAGCCGAGTGTTGGGCTGTTCAGTCACTTTGGTCATTGGTGCCGTTAGGTCAACAAATCGACGATGACACATGCGCGAAGGTTTTACGTTAAGGTTCATGCCGGGTAGCTGCTTGCTTTTGGAAGGGTCGCTCATGCAGTTAATTGTATGCGCAGCACCTTAATTATTCGCTGTACACTCACAATCCGACAGTTGTTATTGCGGGATGCGTAAGCGTAGGTAAATGTCCCTTAAATCAAGAGAGTCACATTGGGATCCGGAGCACGTGGTACAGTCCGTCAGGCGCGGAGAGTCGGCGAGCTGTCATCTCTGAGTCTCACCCTGGCGATCCGGAGCATGTGATACAGTCCGTCAGGCGCGGAGAGTCGGCGAGCTGTCATCTCTGAGTCTCACCCTGGCGATCCGGAGCACGTGATACAGCCCGTCAGGCGCGGAGAGTCGGCGAGCTGTCATCTCTGAGTCTCACCCTGGCGATCCGGAGCACGTGGTACAGTCCGTCAGGCGCGGATGGTCGGCGAGCTGTCATCTCTGGCGCTGCATCCCGGGCTGGACCACCGAGGTGGTGCTCCACATGTGTGCTCCCTGGCGTGATCAGTTGGCATCTGAACGGACGGCGCGACTTTGGGAGTGGTGGACCTGTCCGGGTCTGGCACGAAGCCTCGGCAGTATACAACCGAGCACCGCGCTATACAACCGAGCCCCCTGGATACCCACACACCCAAACCGGACCGAGCCCTAGCTGCCACCGTTAGTTTCCTCAGCGCCGCCAGATATCGGGCTGGTGGAGAACAACGCGCTGCATGGCGCCCGGGTGGCCGTGGAGCTGGCGGAGCTGGTCCGGGGCAGGTGAGCTGGGCTCGCGTCTCCCCGTCACCGCCGGCTGGGGGACAGCCGGTCCTCTGCTGGTGCACGCCACGCGCCGAACGCCACTGCTTAGTCGGGCATCGTGAGAGATGGCTCGAGTTTGGCAAAGGACGGTCACATTTTATATTTTTCGAAGGCGTACGGTTGCGTGCCATATATCTAACGTAACCTTGTCTCCTTGCTGTTGTCGCTGATATTTGGAATAAGGAATAAGTCATGGGTGCCGTATGGTCAGGTCAGTCGGCCCGCCCTAAAGCCCACATCGTCCTCACCGTGTCGGCGGACCCAGCTGCGGCGGTCGTGTTCCAGCGGCGGCCGGGGGGCCGTCCCGGAGCCGGTGGCAGCAGCCGACGCGTCACCGCTGTGGTCCGGCGGCCTGCCCGCAGAGGCAGCCGACGGGTCCCAGCTGCCGGCGGCCGGCGGCCCGCCACCCGTAGGTGAACAGTTCGCCGGTGTGGTGCCGGAGTCTCGGTCAGCTTATGCTTGCCCTGAGGCCGGGTGGTATCGCTCACGGCCATCGACCTCGCGCGAAAACGGAAGTCCTGCCGAAAGTCGCAGGACCAAAGGCGCAGAATATGCTGGGGTATGATGCGATATGTTAAGCTTTTGTGCCTTTGATATCCAAAGCGTTTGGGGTGTTCCATGAGACCGATTATTTCTTGTGTTTGGGGGAGTCTACGTTGTTATTCTCATGCAGTAGCCCTTTTTGTACGGCATGCATGAAGGTAATCTTCGCGCGAGTTCCTTGAACGGAATGCATGTGGGTATATACATCTAGTATTTTGGCGTAACCGACAACGACGAATTACCTTTTCGCAGACCGTGATCGGTGGAAGTGTTATTGATTTTGTCGTCAAGGTTTCGGAAGACAAGATTAAGGTAAGCCTGCAATGATAGCAGTATATGTATTTCAAATATCAAACAATGCTTTGCTCTGTGTATACGGCAAATGTTTTGGTGGTGGGAATCCGTAAATATTTGTCAGAAGAATAAAACTCACGGAGAGCTGTCTATTCTGAAGCTCACTTGAGTTGTTCCCGGTCATGAGTCAGGTCTGGCGTTAAAGAATACCTAATGTGTATTGAAGCTACGCCAGGCTTACCTTTGTGTAGGGTGTGTCGTGGTTGCGGTTGATTACAATGATTGTCCACGGCTGTTAGAGAAAGGTGGTGGTTTTGAACCGTGCAAAGCTCTAGTATTTCGTCATCTTGTGCGGTGAGCGGCGCACGAGGTGTCCACACAAATAAACCGAAAATTTTCCGCGTTGACAAGAAGCCAACGATTGTTATTCAATGATAGCGAAATGTTACACAATGCCGTGGGCTGTTAGAGGAAGGTCATGGGCTCGAACCTTGCGCAGCTGTAGTATTCCGTCATTCCTCGCGGTGAGCGGCGCGTGAGATGTCCACTCAAAGAAACCAAAAAAAATTCCGCGTTGACAAGCCAACAATTGTTATTCAGTGATAGCGTAATGTTACACAATGCCGTAAAACTCCATCTCCTGTTTTGCGCTTTCGAACCCACGCGGTGCTAGCGTTCGATGAACCCCGTGGTGTCTGTCGCGGACCTCTGCATCGAAGCCAGCTCAGTAACTAGCGCAACGAAGGCACTTGCGGACGCTGCCATGCATCTAATTGTATCGCGTGCATCGGGTATAATTTTCTGCTCAGTTGCAGTGTCCCAACCCCCACCACACCTGTAGCTAGTATGTGGATCAAGTTCAGGAAAGTACCGCTTTTTTTTGGTCTCAGGCTTAGCCATTTTTCCTCGCTAAATCCCCAAACTAATTTTGTGAAACCATACCCCGCGCGGCTGTCCTCCCAGCGATATCTCGGCTCCCAACTCACCGCCGTTAACATCCCGTAACAAACCACATGTGTGGGTGTGTGGTATACCATCGTACAGTATTCCTACGTGCTGTATTCCTACATTGTCCTTCGTTTGACGGACCTCGAGTCCGCCTGCTCTTAATGCTGCTTCGTAGGCGGGCCGTGGCCGTGCCCTCCACCTCACCAATGATCTGTCGGCGGGCCGTGACCGTGCTCCCCACCTCACCAGTGATCCGTCGGCGGGCCGTGACCGTGCTCCCCACCTCACCAGTGATCCGTCGGCGGGCCGTGACCGTGCTCCCCACCTCACCAATGATCCGTCGGCGGGCTGTGACCGTCGGCGGGCCGTGACCGTGCTCCCCACGTTCCAGCTGGACGGCTCGACGCACCGCGGTCGGATAATGCAGCGCTACGGCGGCGTGGCGCGGAATGTGGCTGACGCGCTGTCGCGGCTAGGCCACCGGCCCCACTTCTTGTCGGCTGTGGGGCGGGACGAGCTGGGCGAGTCACTGCTCACCAACAACCCGCACATGGTGAGCACCGACCCTTCTAAGTGACCCCTACATGGTGAACACGAACCCGCACAGGGTGAGCACGGACAAGACGGGAGTAAGACATGGCGGCTGGGAGTGGTGTGCGTGTGAGCTGGCAGCAGGTGCTGTTGTTGGCGCTCCACCTTCGTTGGGCTGTGTTGACGCCTGTTATAGCCGTCCACGTACGTCCCATCTCATGAACCGTTAGCACAACTACCGCCACTGGTGGAAAACGGGACCAGTGCAAGCTGCCTGCTGCAGGAACTTAAACCCAGGGCTCTTAACCATGAACTCAACACTCCAAACCACGTGACCCCTCGCCCTCCACCTTCCTCCCGCGTTGGCGCCGCGGCCGTGCCTGCCGGTGTTTCCCACAGCCGGGTGACTGAGCCGGCGCGTGGTGTCCAGGACTGGCGCTGCGTTTCGCGGCCGGATGGCCGGTCCACTGCGAGCTACGTGCTGATGGTGGACGCGGCGGGCACCGTCCAGTTCGGCGTCGGCGACATGGACATGCACAGCCTCATCACGCCCCAGCTGGTACGGCCGGCCGGCACCGAAGCCAGCGCGGTCGCGTCTGGTGCTCGAGGCGGCGGGAGATGGCGTCACAGTCACGAGCACTGCCGGCTGCGACATCTGTAACGACGACGGCCGTGGAAGGCGTCACAATCTGACGCCTTCTACGGCCGTCGCTGGACATGTCATGTCCAGCATCTTTTTCACCATAAAAGTGTTGTTAGCTCCATAGTTTCAACTGGTGTGGATGTGGGAGGCGCTGGGTTTCGTTGGTCTGCCCAGTGTCCAACTATTATAACGCTAGCCCTTGCGTCGTGCCATGCTCTTGCTCTGACAACTTCTGACGCACGTAAGCTCTTCTTGCCGTCGCTAGAAGCTATGGCTCATTGAGCGAGTGCCGAGCGCCATCGCTGATGGTAGCTTTCATTGTGCCAGGGATGTTGTGGAATGTGGCATCCACTGGTGTATTCGTCACGTGGAGCGGCACCAGTCCCCGGACGTGTGCATGGTGCTGACTGGTGGCCGTGGCCAGGTGGAGCGGCACCAGTCGGCCCTGGTCGCCAGCCCTCTGGTGGTGCTGGACGCCAATACGCCGGCGGCCAGCCAGGCGGCGGCGGCGAGGCTGTGCTCGTCGGCCGGCGTGCCGCTCTGGCTCGAGCCGACCGATGTGCAGAAGGCGGGCGAGGCGGCGGCCGTGCTGACGGCCGGGCCGCGGCCGCCGCTGCTCTACACCTCGCCCAACGCCGTCGAGCTGCGCGCCATCCTCGCCGCTCTCACCGACGGTGAGCGGAGGGACCCGGAGCGGTCGCCGCCGCCACTCCTGTGGAGGGATGGGGCTCTGGCAGCCTGTCAGGCGGGTCAGCGGCGTTCTAAGGAGGTTTTCCTGTCGAGATGTTGCTGGTGCCCGGCGTTTGCGTGGTGTATGGCGTCGCTGCCGAGCCAGGAAACACACGATGCCCGGTCCGTGCCGCTGGCGGTGAAGGAATGGCGTGGAGTTTTCGTGATGGAGGGGAGGGATGCCTAATAGTATGTCCGGGATAGTTGCGTTGCACACTACATACGTGAGAGATGATGTACACGATTGAAACTGAAGCTATGCCATTAGGTGTTTGATTCACCACGTCGTTTCATTGGAGTTACGCAATCTGATTTCGCCTCCTGCACTCTGGCGGCTTGTCCATGGTGTACGCTGCTGGCGCCTCGTACAGAGGCAGCCGCCAGTTTGCCTGCTGTGACGTGCGCCTTCCAGAGGCGCCGGCCGACTTCCGTCAGCTGACCGGTGACCATCTCCTGGAGGCGTGTCGGAACGCCAGTCTGCGGCTGCTCGAGCACTTCTACTGCGTCATCGTCACCATGGGGACCAACGGCGTCATGGTGAGGCGGCCTGCGCGGGGCTGTTTACAGCGGATGTGCTGGTGCATTGTAGGCGCCCGCCTTGCGTTGGCAGTGCGCTGGTGAGAATTTGATGCAGGGTACGGCACCATGTTTTCCTGGACGTCCCCAGTGTGAAGCTTCCCAGTCGTTTGGGTGTCAGCGTGTCAAAATCCTTGAGCTATGAACGTGGGGATGTCTTCGTCAATTCTTCGTCGGGGACAAAAATCGGCGGAAAATTATTCATGCTGTGAGACATCATTAAAGAGGATCACACAAATCACCAGTGCCAAAACTGAAAACCCAAATTTTCCGTAAAAAGTCCGCTGTGACCTTTGTGTGTCTGTGGCCAGGTGAGCCGACGGGGCGGCCGCGGGGACCGGCTGCCGCTGGGCCCGCTGCCGCCGCAGCCGCAGCCGCAGCCGCCGCCGCAGCGGGGCGCGCCGGCTGTCTCGTGCGTCCACTACCCTGTCACGCCAGTACCACACGTGGTCAACGAGAGCGGCGCCGGGGACTGGTGAGTGGCGCCTCTACAGCTGGCACCGTCGGGGCCGGGTGGAGTCGACCATTATTGTGTTACTGCAGCATCGCTGGCGTGGTTATTGTGCCGGGTTCCACAGCAGCAGGAAACATGCGTGCAGATGTCGGTGGTTTACGTCGATTTGTGTGTGGATAGCGCCAGATGCTTTGTAGCGTTTTGTTATGCAGTTCGTGTGTGAAGAACTTGGCAGTATGTCATTCCATCCCATGCTCGTTGCATTGTAGGACGAGCGACTCTGTAAAGGCGAGCGTAGCTAAGAGCTAAGAGCCCCCCGTTCTCGCACCGGGCGTCCACCTTGGGTTGACCACCTGACACCGGACTACGTCCCGGCCCTGGCACTGGGACGTGACCCGCCTCTGGCAGCAGACCCCAGCCTGGCTCCTGTGCCGAAGCCGAACTCGCTCCTGCCGGCAGCTTCAACGGCGGCTTCATCTCGGGCATGTTGGCCGGCCTGGACCAGGACCTGTGCGTGTGGCGGGGCGTGCAGACTGCCGCCCAGGCGGTGGTCGCTGCCGGCGCCGTGCCGGGCTCCCTGCACGTGCCGGACCGGATCAGCGGCGCCACTGTCCAGTCAACGGAGATGACCGGAGGATGAGAGCCACGCGGGGCGGGCGGGCGACCCTCAGCTCACCCGAGATGGCGGGAGGGTAAGGGTCAGTGGCGGCCACACCAACCGACGTGGTCTGAAGCTGGGGACCACTCGGGGCCGGCTGGGGGGGGGGGGCTTAGCTACTAGACCCTCAGCTCACCCGAGATGGCGGGAGGGTAAGGGTCAGTGGCGGCCACACCAACCGACGTGGTCAGAAGCTGGGGACCACACGGGGCCGGCTGGGGGTGGGGCTCAGCTACTAGACCATCAGCTCACCCGAGATGGCGGGAGGGTAAGGGTCAGTGGCGGCCACACCAACCGACGTGGTCAGAAGCTGGGGACCACACGGGGCCGGCTGGGGGGGGGGGGGGGGGGGCTCAGCTACTAGACCCTCAGCTCACCCGAGATGGCGGGAGGGTGAGGGTCAGTGGCGGCCACACCAACCGACGTGGTCTGAAGCTGGGGACCACTTGGGGCCGGCTGGGGGGGGGGGGGGGCTCAGCTACTGGAACAGCTCGGACCGCCGCCAAGCCCACTCGGTCCGGCCGGCGGGCCTGGCGGCTGTGGGGGTCAGCGCGCGGCTGCCCGTCGTACTAGCTTCCATGCGGGTCAGGCACACTCACGTGACGTGTTGCCGTGCCGGGGGCGTCGTAGCCAGCTGTGTGTGCACGGGCCATTCCGGTGTAGTGATAGGCTGCAGGGAGCAACATATTCTGCCATTTCGTAGATAGACATGTTTGATAACCGCAGTCACGGACATTTTCCATGGCAAGTGATCTGCCGCGTGGTTCAGCTCCGGGCTTGCGCACAGCATACATATCAGCGACATATCTCTGGATATTCGTGCCGGTTATGTGGGCGCTGTGGCCGCTCGCTTCAGGCCGTGGGCTCGCAGACTGAACTGTGGCGGTGCGCTTGACTCGGCCGCGCAGGGACGGCGTGTGAGGGGCGGGGCGGCACGCTGGGTAGTTCGGACTAGGTCTCCACAGTCTGCAGTCTGTCACCGTCGCATGCGCGGATCTGAACCCGGCACGGACTGAAGTCTGCCCCGGGCGGCCCAGAGCGCCGGCCGCCCGGCGGGCCCAGGTGGTGGCCGGTGTAGCAGTGTCATCTGTCGGTCGCCGGTGGAAGCTCGATTGCCGCGGCGTGGCGGCGGGTGGGATGTGCGCGCCCGTAGTCACGCGCGCCGGCGGAGCTTTGCGGCTGCCGTTACTGCTCTGTGATACACTGTGCCTGGGGACCAGTGCAGTCAGCTGCGCTCTCATCCGCGGCGTCCAATTTCACCGCCTTGTGGTGATCATTGCCGGTTTGCCAAGAACCTGTCGTTTTGTAGGACCTTAGGTTTTGGGCGAAAATGAAAGCAGGTGAAGCCATTTTGCATGAGGGATCATTGTCGACGATAGTTATTTGCTGTGCTTCTGTACCAGCGTTAGTGGCATTTTAGAGGCGGCGTTGGTGACGGTGGACTTTTCTTACCTATATTCAACATTGACGCTGATAAATACAAAACTCGGGTGTCTAGGGTAGAGTGTGCAAAATCCATCACCCAGGGAACTGCACGACCACGGCTCGTGCGCCCTGTCTACATGGCGTACGTTGCCAGCAGCTGTATAGTAGTGGAATGCCCAGCTGTCTGTACCTTTTCTAGCTGTAGCCTGAAAAGTGGGTGTGCCACACCCACGACTGTTGGACCAGTGACGCGTAAAGCACGAGACCGGCTGACTGGGAGTGGCCGGTCCCCTGCTGTCCCTCGTCACACCCGCGGCCGTCGCGAGGGTGGAGGGAGGGGGGGGGGGGAGGGCAGTCTGGCCGGCCGCTGTCCCGTACGAGAGGTGGTCGCCTCTGCCTGCCACGAATCACGCCGAGGCGGACTGTCTGGGCGCAGTGCTCGGGTGGAATGTCTGGGCGGAGTGTCTAGGTGAACTCTCCTGGCGGAGTGCTTGGGTTAAGTACTCGGGCAGAGTGCCCGGATGGAGTGCCCAGACAGAGTGCCCGGGCGGAGTGGTTAGGTCGAGGTCGGATCACACCGTCCGGCATGAGCCGTCCGCCGGGCCGGACCGAACGACGCCCGTCGTCGCCCAGGACAGGCTCGGCGCCGCCGCGCCGGGGCGGGCGGCGTGGAATTCCTTGGGAGACACCGGCTGGCCGGGATACCGATTACTGCCGAAATATTCCGGGGCTTGGTAATGTATTTCACGAGAAATGGATGACTTGAAAAAACGATGTTCGTTTTAGAATAAAGTAGGGTGATTCTGCCTGGTTACGCATCCGCGAAGAACATGTCCATTCCTGACAGCTGTGTGGCCACCTGGCCAGCGGACCGGCTGCGCGTCACTGGGAGCACCTGCGCCCCGTCCCGAGCGTGGCTTCCGGTGAGCTGGGCCGGTCGGCGCCGGGGCGGTCCGCCCCGCACGGTGCCGGCCAGGCTCAGCTGACTCCCGCTGGGCGGAGCCGTCAGCGGCGCGGCAGCACGCTCCGCCAGCTCCTCATCTTCAGCGAGGCTACACGCGAACAGGGCACCGGTGCTCTGCTGAAACAGGGACAGCAGGTAGTCGGGGCCGCGCAGTCTGAAGTGCGTCGGAATCGCATGGTGTTTCCCTCAGCAGCCGCTTCCTTTTCAGTCGCTCGCATCAGTCTTAGCCAACATATCGGAGCTGATCATCATGGCTAAACTTCTCGTCAACATGTCCGGCAACAGCGCTGTATCAAAACGGAACGAGAAACTGTCCACAGACGGTGGACCGGCCAAGCCGCTGTCTTGGGTCACCACTCTGCTGGAGCACGGATCACTACCACAGCCTGGAAAACGCCACTGTCAGGGGCATCTCTGAGCCGACGCCGGCGCGGCCGTCGGGTCTTACCCGGAGCGGAGGAACCCGTTACGCGGCACGGTACGCAGCGCCGGGAACGTGTGGCACAGCACGGAGGACCACGTGGTGGCCTGGATTTCCGCCAGCTGAGCTGCAGCACATCAGCCATCTCCCGTCACAGCGGTGGTCTCGGCCGCACCGAACGTGATAGTCACAAACAACGCGGGGCTGGTCGTCATCAGTGGTGACCGCATCTTTGAAACGCATAGACTCGGGCGACGCGCACGCGCGCCCGAAGCTCTTGCGTCCGTTGACGCACGCGGTATGGGTTTACGGACATATGTAACACAAGAGGACGATTATTTACACATCCCAGGAAGTCGTAAACGTCAGTATATCATGAAGACAGCGGGTTGCTAATGTTAGCCGCACCAGTCTGACAGCTCAGAGACATTTCCTAGACTCCTGTGGGCGGACGCCGGCGCCTCACTCACCCCGGCTGAACATCGAGCCGACGTGGTTGTAAAAGTGCCGGTCGGCGTACTTGAGCCGCGCGAACTGCTCGGCCAGGATGCACTGGAAGGTGGGGCCCAGTATGCCCTCAGCGGCCCGATTCTCGGCGACCCCGGCCACGTACAGGTCAATGTCCTCCACGGACCGGTACACGGAGCGCAGCCGCGATACCTGCGACACGGCACCGGGCGCTGTCGTCACGGGCAGATCAGGGGGACGTGGTGCCGTCACGGGCAGATCAGGGGGGCGTGGTGCCGTCACGGCAGATCAGGGGGACGTGGTGCAGTCACGGACGGATCAGGGGGACGTGGGGACGTAGTTCAGGGGGGCGTGGGGCCGTCACGGGCAGATCGGGGGGACGTGGTGCCGTCACGGGCAGATCAGGGGGACGTGGTGCCGTCACGGCGGATCAGGGAGACGTGGTGCCGTCACGGGCGGATCAGGGGGACATGGTGTCGTCACGGGTAGGTCAGGGGGACGTGGTGCCGTCACGGGCAGATCAGGGGGACGTGGAGGCGTCACGAGCGAGTCACTGGGTCGCGGTGCCCCGCTTGCCACCGTCAAACCGCAGCAACACATGCCTGCAGCATTACAAACAATGAACTCAGCTCTTGGGCCTGTTGGCCAAAACCACTTTTTCTCGGCTTGTCGCTGCTGATGACGCCACACATGGCCTGACGAGCCTGTGTTGGTTGCGAGCCAGCGTGACGGCGCCGGTCCGGCTCGTGGCTGAACTCACGGCGCGCGCCGACATGCCGGCGGCCAGCTGCCGCCAGGTGCTGACGGGCGCCGCCAGGCCAGGACAGGCGGCCCTGAGCGCGGTCCGCGCCTGCACGTAGGTGGTGATACCGTGGTCGCGGCCGCGCTGGATGTTGAGCGCCACCAAGTCCAGACCGTGCTGCCAGAGGGGAGGGGTCACCGACAACACGTTAGACGACGCTTCAGCGGACACTGGACTGCTGCCACGACCGCGCAGTGAGCGCAGGGGCGCATCGCTCTCTCTCTCTCTTCAGCGGACACTGGACTGCTGCCACGACCGCGCAGTGAGCGCGGGGGCGCATCGCTCTCTCTCTTCAGCGGACACTGGACTGTTGCCACGACCGCGCAGTGAGCGCAGGGGCGCATCGCTCTCTCTCTCTCTGAGCATGCCTTTTTAATCAGATGACCGCGTCTGGTTAACTGAGGAAGGAACTGCCGGAACGAAAATGTAGGAACTACTACCCAATGATGCAGTCGCGTTAATTGTTCGCTTCTTTCCGTAACCTGTATAATGGAAGAAAAGCAAACAGCAAGACCGTTTTAATTTCCGGATGATCAGTTATGCCCACTCTAACAGCGTACCAGGAGAGAAGAAGCATCTTTTCACGGGACAGAGATCTTACGTCAGCAACTAAGATTGACATTGGCGTACGGTCCGGTTTGTCGAATGGGTGTTGTAATTCTCAGAGCGTTTCTCACAAAAAATTATGGACAGCTTATCAGGTGTCGCAAACCTGAGAAACACTATTCTGTGTTACGAAAATCACGGCTATCCACCATAACCCGAAGCCACCATGACAGCACCACAATGGGAGAGTCACAAAGCGGGCCACCTGGTCGGCTGCCAGGCGGCGGACTGACCTTGTGCCGGCCGCGGAAAAGCTTGCCGACGATCTCGCCGGAGAACGTAGTGTCCATGGCCTGGCCGGGCTGCTGCACCAGGCTGCGCGCCACGGCCAGTCTCATGCCCCGCTCCTGCAGCCGGGCGCCGGGGCTGAAGAACACGTCACTGAGCCGCACCGGCCGGCTCCCGCCCGCCACCCTGCCGGCAGGCCGGTGGAGGCTGAGTTCGATTCCCGCTGTAGAAAGCTTTCGCCGGCACCAGTTTGAACCAGTCTCGCCGACCGACCGAGCCTGGCTGTTACGTCAACTCGACGGCCTGTGGTGCCAGGGGCGTCTGAGAGCACAGATGTGTGTCCTCGTGTCACTCTGCCAGGGGCCTAGCTCGAGGCCGGGGACTGGAAAGAACAGAGAGTGAACTGACTAAAACTGCTGCCCTGCCACCTTGGCGCTCGCTCCTGTCACTGGCCGCCTAATGAAAGGCTTCGATGTGGACCATTGTGCCGAACAGCAGCGACACGAGCGGACTGTACCGGACAGTCCCGGTGCTTCCCACCGAACAGCTCATATGCGTGAATTGTGGAGCAATACCTTATCCGACCGGCTTTGTTTGGACCCATAACGGACCGCTCCTTCAGTGAAATCCAACCGCGCTGTGTTGTATTGCCACTGGACGACCGCGCTGTGGGGCCCAAGCAGCATTGTCCCTCGCGTGGACCGGTACATATCGCGCCGAGCCGTGAACCCCCATCGCACGCCCCTGTCCAACGACCTCTACCAGACTGTCCCAATGTGTGGACCCCCCCACACAGCTCCTGTGCAAGGACTCATACCAGTCTGTCCCAATGTGTGGACCCCTCCACACAGCTCCTGTACAAGAACTCATACCAGCCTGTCCTCATGTGCGGCCCCCTACCGCACAGGTCCCGTACAAGGGCTCATACCAGCCTGTCCTCATGTGTGGCCCCCAGCGGGTCGCTCCCGCGTGTGGACCCGTACTTGACCACGCCTGACACCAGGGAGTGTCCGAAGCGGAAGGCGGCCGCGGAGAACTCGTTGATGATGCCCGGGTGGAGGGCGGGCATGTAGCGGGCCGGCCGGTCCAGCCGCAGCCTCCGCACCAACGACGGGCCCAGCACGATCGGCAGCCACTCCTCGTACGTGATCTTCTGCATCAGCGCCACATTCAGGGCCCGGGCCTCCTGAAACAGGCGCGTGATCACGTGTGTCGACCGTGGTCAGCACCGGCCGGCGCCCAGCACCTGTCTACGGTACTGTCGTCCGTTTTTTCATGTTCATCTTAAATATTTCACATTGCATCGTTTGTCACTGGGTTAAGGTGCTAGACATTCCATGATAAATAACTTGGGAAGCGGGTTTTTGCTCGAGTCCGTGGCAAATTCAACCCCCGACCAAGCATGCCTCTGTGAGGCTCGAATAAGAGTGGTTAACCTGGCCAAGCCAGCGCCCACGCCATTCTAACAAGGGCAAGCAGTCTGGCACTAGAACACCTGCGTGACTGCGGGCTTGCAACGCTACCTGAAACAGGTCCTCTTCGGACGCGGCTGGGTTCAGCCTCTTCAGACGGTCGGCGATGTGGTTGTGCATGATGGCCCAGATGTTATGCATCAGCGTCAGCGAGATCTGCTCGTTCACGCGCGAGTCGCCTGCGGCCACAACGCACGTCATCGCATGGACGAGCGTCACCAATCATCCGATGAACGGATGAATAAGGCCGTTTGTGTGTGTTGTATATTTTCGAAGCACGTCCTACGACGCACGGAAATTCAGTGCTCCAATGCAGGACGGGCGTCCGGAGGCCGCTCACATTACGCGGGGATCGGTTTTATGGACGGCGTGCGGACTTCAACTGGTGCGCCACGTTTTGAGCGATCTAAACCGGCTGCTCGTCCGTTTTGTGACTGAAAAATACGATAAGAGAGCAGATTGGCTTGGCACTGTGTGATAATGTGTGTGTGCGGCTGTTTGCGCACGACGCGCAGGACTTTTATTCAAATTTTCACCGCGTTCATTTTACCGCAACGGCCATAAAAGAGCAAAATGTACCAGGATGCGCTCAAGGTAAACACAGAAAAGTACAAAAACGCCACTTGTACGTCGGCTTGAGCGTCAGGAAGTAGACGCATTCTGCCCACCTGCCCGGTAGCAGTTCCCTTGCCCACCTTTCCACCTACCCTGTAGCAGTCCCCTGCCCCACCTCTCCACCTGCTCGGTAGCAGTCCGCCCTTCCGTCTCCCCACCTGTTCGGTAATAGCTCCCTGACCCACCTCCCCGCCTGCCCGGTAGCACTCTCCCGCCCCGTCTCCCCACCTGCCCGGTAAAAGCTCCCTGACCCACCTCCCCACCTGCCCGGTAGCAGTCGGCCGTCCCGTCTCTCACCTGCCCGGTAGCACTCTCCCGCCCCGTCTCCCCACCTGCCCGGTAAAAGTTCCCTGACCCACCTCCCCACCTGTTCGGTAGCACTCTCCCACCCCGTTTCCCCAACTGCCCGGTAAAAGTTCCCTGACCCACTTCCCCACCTGCCCGGTAGCAGTCGGCCGTCCCGTCTCCCACCTGCCCGGTAGCACTCTCCCGCCCCGTCTCCCCACCTGCCCGGTAAAAGTTCCCTGACCCACCTCCCCACCTGCCCGGTGGCACTCCCCCGCCCCGTCTCCCCACCTGCCCGGTAAAAGTTCCCTGACCCACCTCCCCACCTGCCCGGTGGCACTCTCCCGCCCCGTTTCCCCAACTGCCCGGTAACACTCTCCCGCCCCATATGCCCACCTGCCCGGTAGCAGATGCCGTTGCCGGCGTTCTCGACGCAGCCCTCGGCACCGTGCGGCAGGCGCGGCAGCCGGCCGTCGCGGGAGAGCCGCAGGCGGCGGGAGCGGCCCCGGCGCAGCTGCGCCAGGCCCGCCAAGTCGCTGCCGTACACGTTGCTGCCATCGATCCAGTGCGTGATTTGGTTCAGCTGAGGGTGGCCGACACACGCCGAGTGACGTCAGGGCGCCACGGATGACCAGAGGCGCCACGCTGCTGCACGCTGCTGTTCTAATGTACGTGACAGCTGACACCGGCTCTGTTAGTGGAACCCAGCGACCTGCTGCGTTTTCTCATGCGAACTATGCAGGACGGGACATGATGATGTCCCGTGATGATGTCCTATGATGATGTCCCTTCCAAGCGAATACGCAGGCAGAGGCGCCTTATCACGCCCTGCCCCAGAGTAACCACACAGCCGCCAGTCCAAACAGCTGACGACGGCGACAGCAGCCGTGCCTGCGCTGGGCGCAGGCTCGGAGGCGCCGCTCAGAGGCGGCGCTGTCCGCCTACCTGCTGGGCCGGCTCATTGACGCAGCTGCGGCCCAGCGCCGGGATGCTGCGCAGGAAGTTGAGGCAGCGCACCCCGTGCCGCGCATAGAACGGGTCATTGGCGGCAACCTCGATGGGGAAACACTCAGGCAGGCGACGTACGACGTCCCGTGGCACGCCGCGCGTGCAGCAGTCCAGGCCGGTCGTCGAGTCTGGAGGCGACGAGCAGTGGCGGTCTGACCGATGGCCGTTCAGTGCCCATACCGTTAGAGCAAGGTCGGAACTTTGGCAATCCAGTGCCAGTCGAGGCAGATGATTTACGGCACACAGCTCAAGGCGGAAGGTTGCCGAGCGAGGAGGGTTCAAAGATACACAACACACACACACACGAGTTTGCGTTGAAGCAAGGCTGGGCTGGGCTGCTCCCGCGCGCAGTCACCCGGCGTCCGTGCGCGCGGTAGTGCCACCCGCGTGCATACTCACTCGACCTCTGGACGGGCACGTGCGTGATGTCGTGGTCCAGGAACTGCCCCCACTGCATCACGGACAGGGTGTGCGTCCGCGAGTCGACGCCCTCGCGGACGCGGGTGCAGCGCGCGCTGATGAGCCTCGCCGACGGCAGCGGCGTGCCGCCGACGCCGGCCGTGCGGGGCTGCAGGATGCCTGCCGGCCGCCGGGACGGCGTCAGGTGAGCGCCGCCGGCGGCGGCCGGTGGCGCCGGCGCGGGACGCGATCGGAGGGGAAGTAATCGGGCGACGGGGCACCTCGCAAGGGAACTAGGGCTCTGCGTTCAGAGGGGAAGTTACACGGGGAGATCACGGGAACGGCATCACTGAACACAATGAAGCATTCGACGTGAACCAAATGAGAGCATGCTTGAGGACACCGTCACTAACTTAGTCATCCAACTCGCGACTGAAAAGCACGGACGCTCTACAACGGTCCAAATTAACGCGTCAACGCATGCGTACGCTCCGGAGTGCACCATTCTGTATCTCCTCCCCTCCCACATCTGAAGCAGCTGAGAGCGAAACCATGTCAAACTTTGCGGCGCATGCGCACGTCGCCACCGCCTGCCGTACGCGGACAGCCGTGGCTGCGACCTCGACGGTGCGGTACGTGACAGGATCGGTGACCGACCGTCGGGGTAGGTGCTGCGGTGGATCCGGATCAGGGGAGTGCCAGCGCTGCCCCATAATGGCTGCGCCTCGTTGTTGCACGTGCCGTCCATGGTGCGATACGGACCGCGACCGCACGACGTGGGTCTCGTAGTGGCGCAGGCGATGCGTGAGGTCTGGCCGGTCCCTGACGATGGCCGAGTGGGCGTCTTACATTGGACGAGATAAGGTGCGGGAGTCAAGCAAGTCAGATGAGCCATTCATATGTGACGCTTTCGGATCGAGGCCCGACACAGCCGACCGCAGTCGTGTGCCGCTGCCTGCCTTTTAAAACATCCGCTGTGGACATCAGCGCTCGAGTAGCGCCTCCCAAAGTGACGTCAGCGTTCCAGAAGCGTCTCCCAAAGGGACGTCAGCGCTCCAGTAACGTCTCCCAAAGTGACATAAGCTCTCCAGTAGCGTCTCCTAAAGTGACGTCAGCGCTCGAGTAGCGCCTCCCAAAGTGACGTCAGTGCTCCAGTAGCGTCTCCCAAAGTGATGTCAGCGCTCCAGTAGCATCTCCCAAAGTGACATAAGCACTCGAATAGCGTCTCCCAAAGTGACATAAGCACTCGAGTAGCGCCTCCCAAAGTGACGTCAGCGCTCCAGTAGCGTCTCCCAAAGTGACATAAGCGCTAGAGTAGCGTCTCCCAAAGTGACATAAGCGCTCGAGTAGCGTCTCCCAAAGTGACGTCAGCGCTCGAGTAGCGCCTCCCAAAGTGACGTCAGCGCTCCAGTAGCGTCTCCCAAAGTGACATAAGCACTCGAGTAGCGTCTCCCAAAGTGACGTCAGCGCCCCAGAAGCGTCTCTCAAAGTGACGTCAACGCTCCAGAAGCGTCTCCCAAAGTGACGTCAGCGCTCCAGTAGTGTCTCCTAAAGTGACATAAGCGTTCGAGTAGCGTCTCCCAAAGTGACGTTAACGCTCGAGTAGCGTCTCCCGAAGCGAAAGTTGCACGCGCACGCTCGTGCAAGTGTCACTTTGGGGCAGCACATAATGGCATGCATTATATCGCCTGGTGTTGGCTATCAAATGAGCACAGGAGTCCCGATGTGCACCGCCGCTTGGCTGGAGCGCCTGCTGTGTAGTCGGCACGTGCCGCCCACTTACTGCTGTCCGTCGGCTGGGCGCTGGCGCCGTTCAGAACGGTCCGAATGGCAGAGGGGTAGATCAGCTCCGACACGGGCAGCTGCTGGCCCTGGCCGAGACTACGGACACAGGCACACCGGCTGTCGGCCCCCGGGTGACGTAACCAGCTCCGACACGGGCAGCTGCTGGCCCTGGCAGAGACTACGGACACTGTCACACCGGCTGCCGGCCCCGAGTGGCGCAACCACGGACTACGGCAAGGCTCGTGAGTAAGGCAGCTTGCAGGCAGCTGTATTCGGGATGGCGTTTAGTGGCCCAATGATCTCGCGTCGCAGTTTTCAGTATCCAGAGCCAAGATCAACAGAGACCAGCGACCAACGAATGACACGTGCTCTTAAGTGTTTTTAGTTGGCTTCAGTCAGGAACCAACGAATGCAGCCTGTCATCCAGCATCGCCCTCTAATATAGAACCTTGGGCTGAGAATGGACCGCGTTCACTCAGCGTGCTTTGGGGGTGGGAAGGAATTGCCTACCGGTTTCTGCTGCGGCTGACATGTTGTAGACTGAGCGCTGGGTAGACGGGTGCCTCTGTCCATAGACGTAGGAACATTTCAAAAAGTGTTGGGGGGCCAAGCTCAGAGCGTACTTTAGGAACGTTTCTGGAAAGCAGGCCCGATGACCGGGGGGGCGGGGGGGATAGAGATGGAGCTTGTTATCGCTCTTTATTAAAATGTCACGGCTGCTATGCTAGATATGCATCCAGAGCTGTTTTTCATTGGTACGCAGTCTTACCCATTCGGCTCATTCATGTCATTCAGGAAATAACAAAATCGACTCATCTATGCTATCCAGCTTCCCAAGATTATTTGTCCATTTCAACATTGCCTTTCTTGGGACGCAAAATTACACGAGAGCGTAGGCATTTTGGGTCATTGAGGGGGTATCTGCCTTCACAGGCTAGTTGCCAAAATACGGCCTGAGCATAGGCTGGTGAGAATTTTGAATGTGAATGGATGGCTCACAGTGTGACAGATTTTTTATGCGCCTTCATTTCGCTGGCTCCTTTTCAAGAGATAAGGCTTGTCACAGCATTTTAGGCAGACACAAATTCGGGAGCTTGAATCTGCCAAGAGCAAGGTGACAAAAGCCCTACAACTGGAGATTCTTCTTTAACAACCAGGCCGCAGAATGGAGGCCCTTCTGAAATGATTTATTTTTCTGAGCCCAGCTCCCGTCCGCCGTCGGCGGCCACTGCCTAGCCCCGGCTATCTTCCGCATGCCTGACTGCGAACTAATCTTATGGCTGCTTTGTTGCATATTTCTGGATCAGCATTGCTACTTACTGGTGTGTGAAGAATGCTGGACACTTGCAATAGTATCTTTTCCCGAATTATCTTCCCTTACACTAGACAACCCCAGAAAAAACCTCCGGGAAGCTGCCTGCCTTATATGTGAACTGGCCCAACGGACATTTAATTGACCATCATTCAACGTAGACTTGATCTGCTGTTGTGTGTAGACAGGGGCGTAGCCAGAGCCTGCCTAAGGAGGAGCGCAGGGTTGACAAAAGCCCCTCTTATGGTGTCCCCCAAAATCCCCGTATATAGCTTACTGTTCACATGAGATACGGTCTTCTTCGTTTCATTATTTTTACCTTGCAACCAGAACAGAAACCAGAAGCTACCGTGAGATCAATTCTGCCTGCATCTTGAAATCAGGCGTTCAACGACTGCATTGAATACATCACTGGTGCCCTCAATTTACAATGGTTTAGTGGCCTCTTTATAAACCGGTAGAATTCAGAAGCTCTGTCAGAATGTTTTATCTGGGTTCTACAGGCATTAAGGACATCACGAAGGTCGATATGTTTGATCGAAATTTGATTATGAAAATTTGGTTGTAAATCGAGTGGTCAACAATGTGCACTAACATGACCAAGCCATGTTTGTCTGGAAATGTTTCACATTCGGGCAGAACTGATAACTGATGCAATTTATGTGACGTGACTTTTTAGCATGCGCGCTCGCAAATCTTAGCAACAAAGGGCTCGGCGCCAGGCGTTGCAGTCTCCGTAGGCCGCGTAGCGTCGGCTCAGCAGCTGATGTTGAGCTGTGGTCAATGGGTGGGCGAAAATGACGACGCTTCTGCGAGAAGCATCTTTGAACGCTCGAGGACATCACATCTTACATTAAGAAGACATTTTGAGCGCATACTTCACGTGTCTTATTTTCAAACCGATAACAATAGACTGGCGCTTAAAGCGCCGCGAAGTGGTGCTGGAATTTGATGATGGAACTGAAAGAGTAAAGGTAGAATCCCCATTTTTGTGTTTCTGTTACTATTAATCTGTCCAGAACACAGATTAACACGGCGCCCGCCGTCTGGCGGCATTGCAGTGGCCGAAACCCTTCGGCTTTACGGATGCTGCAACCCAGGCCATCGCTATCCTTGCTCTCCAGGTTACGGGCGGGCATGTCCAAATCTTTCTGTCATTTTTTCACTTACCCATTCTGAACAAGTGAACGTTCTCAGGCATACATGGAATGACCTTGCTCGTTTTTTAAATTCATTCCGACGCACTCTATTCAACAATAATGAGAGCCCTATTCTACTCAGCAATAGTGAGATCCCTTATTTCCTTCTGCATAAGGGTCCGCTTGAGCAGAACACCAGGGGTACATTACCGGTTCCAGTCAAGGGCCAAAGGACCACTTTGCCCCATCGCGAGGCGTCTTCTGGCTGTCATTCTGGTGACACGGGGCGGGATCTCCCGGTCGATCCGGAGGCCATGAGAAGGATATATCACATCATATTGTCCCCATCCCTGACACGGGAAGTCTTGTGACCCGCGCAGTTGGCTCCGGATCAGCAAAGGAACCCTCATTGACGCAATAACATGCCTGATCGCCGCGGGTGGTCTATTGTCATATATACTACAGTTCCGCGTTTTTTACTTGCTCTTCAGAGATATTGAGGACTCCCTGAACGTAGATTGTGGATGAAATGGGATCCCAAATTTGTATTAACATGGCTAATCCATGTTCGTCTTGAAATGTTCAAGATTCAGCCAGAACTGAATACTGATAAAAACTGCAATATGGTTTTTGAACATGCACGCTCGCAAGTCACAGTAACAACAGCCTCGACGCCCGACCTTACAGCCTCCATGGGCCGCGCGGCGTCAGCCTGTGGCTGTGACACTAAGCGATGGCCAATAAGCAAACGAAAAAGATGACGCATCATGGGGAAGATGCCTGGTGAACTAGGCAAATCGGCATGTACGTTTAACGTGGTGCAAAAGTAAGCTAAACGCAACCTTAATCTGGAAAGTGGGGGGGGGGGGGGAGTTAAAACTGCTGCCTCCCTCGAAAAGTGGGAGGTAAGGCCTCCCTTCCCCCTATTCTTACAACCATGCGTCTGTCAGACGTTTGCTGGGAGCTGTTTGCGGTGCACCGTGAGGATGGTGTGGTTAGGTTAGGTAGGCTTGGGTTACGTTAGGCTAGGTTCGGACGCTTACCGCACTTGTTAACTGCGTGCCATGAGGATGGTGTTCCCTACCAGACGCCTTCTGGGCCTGTTTACTGTGCGCAAGGAGGTTGGTGTTCCCTGCCAGACGCTTTCTGGGCCTGTTAACTGCGCGCAAGGAGGATGGTGTTCCCTGCCAGACGCCTTCTGGGCCTGTTTACTGCGCGCAAGGAGGATGGTGTTCTCTGCCAGACGCTTTCTGGGCCTGTTAACAGCGCGGGGTGTGGTCAGAGTTACCTGGCAGCCACCTGCTGCAGGTTTCGGACGGCCTGGATGCCCTGCCTGATGATGGCCGGGGTGGTGCGGAATTGCAGCAGGCTCACGCCGGATGGTGTCAGCCCACCCACCGTCGACAGCTGCGGTCAGGTCATGTCAGGTCAGGTCAGACCACGGCGTTGGCTCGTGATGGCCAGTTCCGTCGACCGAGCCTGGTGCTGAACCGAGGGGCGCAGACGCTATAACTCACAACAAAGAGCGAGTGTCGGCCGGAATAGGTGGTCTCTCTCGAGATTCAGCACGCCCATTGTAATACAGATGTGACGCTCGCCATCTTACAGAGACTTAAAAGAACGGCATATTGATTGACATTGTTCTAATTGCTGTCGATTTTTTTATGCATCAGTGAATGGAAATGTGACTATTCAGTAAAAAGTCACCAACAAACTGTTTAGAGATGAGACACCTTTGCTAACCCTATTCCTTCACATTCGCCCTTATTCCTCGTGGAATAAACAGGAGAATGGAAATATGAATGCGATATTTCTGTCAAATGCCTTTATTAAAACAAGCCCCAATTGACATTTCACGCATTTTAAACATTTTAAGTGTTCATTTGGATAAAGTCATTGAGCCGAAATATCACATCTCTCTCCCCTCTCTCTCTCTCTCTCTCTCTCTCTCTCTCTCTCTCTCTCTCTCTCTCTCTCTCTCTCTCTCTCTCTCTCTCTCTCTCTCTCTCTCTCTCTCTCTCTCTCTCTCTCTCTCTTTCTCCCTCTCTCTCTCTTTTTTTTTCTCTCTCTCTCTTTATTCTCCCCTTAGTTCTACGAGAAATAAGGCTATTAGCACTGTCTCATTTATATGCACACCACTCCTCGTAAATGCACTTAACGGATTCTAAGCCTTAGATATCAACGGTGAGATGGCTGACGCACGAAGAACGGCTGAGCATATTGTTAAAGGCAACCACTTTATGTATGTATGTCAGTGATGACATTAAGACTGATTTGATGACGGTGGTTTAATCCATATGACATAGCTATGCCACACACCTACAATCCTCCTTGTTTGGGCCATTGTGAGCACATGATGTGCCTTGTTGCCCTACCTGGTTTCTGATGTTGGTGAGCTGCTGGTTCAACTGCCTGAGGGTGTTCGTCATCAGTCTAAGAGTGGATGGCTGTGAAGAAAGTATACATGTGGTAAGCCACTTGGTTGTTAGCTCAGCGCTAAAGGTGTGAAACAAACTCCCATTGAGATTTAACGCATTTCGAACGTTCAAGAAACGGTGCCTCTGGCAGGTGTAGCGACAAAGACAGGGGCGAGGAAGATCTCGTCTTAGGAGAACTGTGATAAAGATGGTGACAAAGCAAGCTGTTTGTTTAAAAGCAGGTTCAATTTCGCTGATGTGATGATAGGCAGCTCTGACTGACCGGTTGACCTGTCGTATCGCAACATTACTCGGGCCAATCTCATGCTCCAGCCGTCTGCTTCCACCTGCAAACTTTGCCCCGGTATTGACCGGGCACGACGCTGCCAGTCCGCCAGCAGCGGGCCGCCGGGCCGGCAGCCGCACGGCCGCCGCCTGCTGGCCCGTACCCGGCGGGCCGACAGGGCCGTCTGACCTGTTGACCAGTGCCTGCTGGCCCGTACCCGGCGGGCCGGCAGGGCCGTCTGACCTGTTGACCGCCGCCTGCTGGCCCGTACCCGGCGGGCCGACAGAGCCGTCTGACCTGTTGACCGGTGCCTGCTGGAGCCGGGAGGGTCACCCGCGGCACAGCCAGGGGTGTCGGGAGGGACGGGAGCAGCCCCGCCGGGTTCGCGGCGGGCGCCGTCGGCAGCTGCGACACTCCCGGCACTGTCGGCAGCTGCTGCGCTCCGGGCACTGTCGGCAGCTGCTGCGCTCCGGGCAGTTGAGCCAGGCCGGGCAGCTGGGTGAGCGTCGATGCCAGATTCTGGACCGGCGCGACTGCAGGGGACAGGGGAGGCATGTGATGACGCGTCTGACGCGGCGCCGCCAGCCCGCGACCAGCGCCGTCCTGACAGCGACGAGCGCGCGCACTGCTCTGGGCGTCGCACCGCGCCGAACGCAGGGCTTCTGGCCGGGCCGCAGGGCGTGGGCGAGCTGCGACGGTGTACAGGGCACGTCACACCAGCGCTCGGTCATTCGACCGCCTGCACTGCCAGCCCCGCAGCACGCATACAGCTCCGCCAGGGGCTCCGTCACGGAGTGGGGACCGCGGCAAGTCATTTTAAAAACAGCGCTCGAATGTACGTTTGTAACTATTGTGTTACGGGTAAAAATGAGACATCGAGACATCGAGACTCTTAGTTTCGAGACATCGCCACCCCGGCCGCAAAATGACGTCATTCGTCAGCAGGCCCGATCATCATCTCGTCGTCAGCTGTTGATCGACGATGGAGCTCACATGCATCCCGCGGCCGCCCGCGTGACCGCCGGGTCAAGGTCGTGACCTACCAGCAGCGGCGGGCGTAGCTGGCGGCCGAGGTAGGGCACCCAGACCCGGCAGCAGCTGAAACAGGGCCGGGGTCAGACGACCGTCACGGCCCCTGTCGCCAGGTCTGTACATCCGCGCGGCACCCCTGTCGCCAGGTCTGTACATCCGTCTGTACATCGGCGCGGTACCCCTGTCGCCAGGTCTGTACATCCGCGCGGCACCCCGGTGTCTGTACATCCGCGCGGCACCCCTGTCGCCAGGTCTGTACATCCGCGCGGTACCCCTGTCACCAGGTATGTACATCCGCACGACACCCCTGTCGCCAGGTCTGTACATCCGCGCGGCATCCCTGTCGCCAGGCGCCGAGCGGGTGTACAGCACGCCGTGAAAGGTCGCGGTGGAGGGACGCCCCGTGTGGTGCTGGTGGGCGGGCCTCGCAACGGCAGCTGAGTCATTTCCGGGCCGTGGACGTGTGTTTGTCTTTCTGTACATATTTAGTTCGAACTTTTTCATAGGATGTATTTCTGGGATCAGTGCCGACGCTAAGCAGTGTTTGTTGCGTAAGCCCTGACACCATGCCGCCATCCAATAGTGAAATCTGGGTCAGCGGAGAATTTTGAATCGAAAGGTCAACGTGCGTAGTGTTCGGCCCGTCCCGTCACGCCCACCACCACCTGACCTTTCGTGCGGCTGCTATCACCAGCTTAGGTCATCCCAGTCAAGGGCAAATTAAGCAGCGCTTAAAGCGACCCGACCCTGCCCTGCCAAATGTAAGTGAACCGGGGGATATACACTGTAACCAACTGAGATACCGGGCGGGGCTTGAAGGAGGATGGTATTTATTCGGTCTAATTATAATTAATTAGTGAGGATTAGATGGTGAGGCTTAATTCATTAATGAGTAAAATTTAATCAATTTGTGGGGCAACAGCAAGGCCACCCGTGAGACCTCAGGTGCCCAGCCTTACCCCGCACAAGCACCTTCTTTGTGCGTACCGGCGGCCGCTCGTGCGGGCCGGAGGTCTAGGCCGGACCGCCCCGGCCAGGGCGGCGCTCTAGGCGGCTCATCACCCTCCTTGTGCGCACAGGCGGCCGCTCGTGCGCGCCGGAGGTCTAGGCCGGACCGCCCCGGCCAGGGCGGCGCTCTAGGCGGCTCATCACCTTCTTTGTGCGCACAGGCGGCCGCTCGTGCGGGCCGGAGGTCTAGGGCGGCGCTCTAGGCGGCTCACCGCCGGTGCCCGCTGCATGCCGTAGTGGGACGGATTTGCGCCAATCGGGTGAGGCCGTGAGTAAAGGAAGCGAGTCCACATCTGGAGATGGACTGTTCACGTCTGAGAACGACAAACGGCGCACACCCTTTGCCACGATCGCCATGCGTCATCATGTGCATGGCGCCATGGCACTATGTGCACGCTAATGGAACTGGCCGGGTATGAGCGCATACAACGCGCTTTCTCACCGTTTGAGTCAATTGCGGGAGTCCGAGGAGTTGACACATCACGCTCTCCAGGCCTATCGTCGTCAACACCAAGACCACGCACGCGATCTGAAATTAGACTGGTGTTTAATGGCCTGTGGCGCGAAGCTTGCAGACCCAGCGACCAGCTTCAGATAACGTTCCTCGGCGGCTCGCTTCTGCCTGCAGCACTGTAAGGCTGACACCCGAAGCAACATCACACCAGAGAGCCGATAGACCGTGTGATAAAACGATACCTGCCCGCTCACTGAGCCGTTGAAACGCACGGCCGAGCCGGCAGAGGGTAAACCTCCTTCCTGCTCCTCTTGGTCACGTTTGTACAGACCCAAAAGGCATACCACGATTACGATAGACACCTGACGCCATGTGCGCACCAACAGATGGCTCCACCATCGCACCGATATTCAGCAATTTCACCACAGAGCACGCAACGCGACGGGACATCGCGGCCTGTGCGCATCTGTCCCACGCCAGCGTGCCCGTCGATGTTCCCACGAGACCTGACCGGGCGGTGACCGGTGAGCGCGCCCGAGAGCCATGACACGTACCGCCGGGAGTGGACGAGCCTCCATGGCGCGGCGATGCGCGCGCCGCGGCATCACGACTGCCTGCGAGAGCCGCCGCAGGGACACAGCGTCGGCCCGCCGTCACAGCCGTCCCGACCAAGGACAGCCGAACAAATGTCGCCAGATCGAGCCGTCAATCACGGCGCGAGCGGGGCTCCGGCGGCGCGGCCGTGGGTGTGGCGGCTCCGGCGACGCGGCGGCGCGGCGGCGTCGGCGCACGTGAAGCACGTCGCGGCGCCTCTGCCATGGCGTACCACCCACCGCATTCGCCATATCAGTGCTCAGGAGCCACCTCGCAACCGGGATTTGAACCCGGGCCCCCACGCGGGAGTCCGGCGCGCTAACCACTCGGCCGTTACGCCTCCTGGGTGCGCTAACCACTCGGCCGTTACGCCTCCTGGGCGCGGCAACCACTCGGTCATTAAGCCTCCTACTGGTCGTTAGTGAAGGCGGTCTTTCAATGAGGCAGCTATAGATAATTCATCTCTTTCAGTAACGCCGCGGCCATGCGTTCGACGGGTGCTGACGCCTGGCGTGCCAGGTAGCTCGTCTCCCCTATGCAATGCCATCGCAGTCTGGGGCTGGCTATTGTAAGTCAGGACGTATTGTAACGACAAAGGCTTACACGAGAACCACTCAGCCGCGAACATCAGCGCCCACACAGCTGACGTGTCCTGCAAACATCAACGTCCACCTAGCTGATGTGTCTGAAAAACACTAACCGCAGCCAGCCGCAGACAGCGACACATTCCCGGACCGCCCACGCTGGGTTCATTCATTGCCACGACGTAGGCCAGCGGGCAGCCAGGTCGCGCGGACCCTAGAGGCGCTGCGCAGGGGCACCGTGTCCTGGTAAGACGTCCGTGACGCCTCCTGGCAGGACGGCTTGATGGCGGCGCAGGCCGTGTGGTGTCCTGTCCTGGCGGCTGCATCGCCCCTGAAACCCCGCGCCATCAGACACATTCACAAGCCCTCGACCAAAGGAGATGCGTAACACTTCGCCGATCAGACCCCCAGGCCCACGAACAGAGCAGAGGTATAGCACTTCGTCGACCACAGACGCCGGCAAGCAGGACAGCTAACTGGCCTGAAGATCACATTCGAATAAATTGCTAGCTTGCCCTCACCACGCCGTCAGTTACGGAAATCGACACTACAAAACGAGAACAACTAAGAAATAGAAAACACGCTCAACAGTGCAACCTTTCAACTAATCAGTCCTTAAATCTGCACTATCCCTCTACCTTAAGGCCGGTCCATGGTACTTGCGGCACTTGCGGCCTCAAATAGGTTTGAATCTCCCCAGCGACGCCGCGTCGCCCGTCTCAGTCCCGTCAGCAGCACCTCTGTGGACGGCAGAGCTGCTGCTGCCCAAGTGGAGGACCAGGTCCGGCCATACATCCTCTAGGCTCCCGCCGTTTTCCGCTCCGCGTGCCCCGTACCAATGAGGACCGCTGCTTCTTACACGTCAAAAGCGTTACTCACGCATCCACCACAGCCCATATGAGCGGGGCGAATGCAGCGCAGAGCCGTGACCTAGGCGACTACGGACATATTTATCTAACGCATGCGGACAAATGAAGCTCGCACGCAACACCCGGTGTTTCGCTCTGCTTTAAAGCAGCCATCTTTGACGACAGCTTCCAGCAATCGTATTAAGATTTGTATGATCAGTAATAATCCCCTCGAATCAATTATCGAGTGAACGAGGAAGAGCGGGTTGAGCAGGAGGCACGAGTCATCACCGAAGCCCGCTCACGGAGCCCGTCTGGACAGGCGGGGATGGAGTCTCCCCGCTTCAGGCCATGTGCCCCGACACGCATCCAGCGAGCGCATGCAGGAGAAAGGCACCAGGATAGTCGTGCCTTCCACTGGACACGAGCGATGAGGTGGTGACTCGTGCTCAGAGCAGCGTGACGAACCGTTCCGGGACTTCAGTGCCTCCCGCACGTCAGCTCGCAGGCCCCGCGGTCATCTCAAACACGGCCATCCCGTCCGCTGTGGTATATTATACGCGCAAAACAAGTCAGTGGGGTGGAGCCCTTCACTTCTTGGGGCGCGGGGCGCGGCGGGCGCGGGGCGTGGCCTCCTTCTCCTCCTCGGGCACGATGTCGACCTTCTTCTGGGCCTTGCGCTCCTCGCGCCGCTTGCGCGCCTCCCTCACGCGGATGCGCTTGGCGTCGGCCTGGTCAGCCAGCATCTTGGCGCGAGACACCTCGGCCTTCTTCTGTGGATGTACTCCATCAGAGTCCGCTTGTTCTTGAAGACGTTACCTGCGGCACGGCGCGGGGAGTCACGCCATGCACCCGACAGCCGGGGGCAGTACGGCAAACGCACGCCATGTTGTCAATGTCGGGGGTTGATTTCTCATCTGAACCCAGCCAACGTAATACACAGCTGGCTGCATGTACGCACCGACTTCAATCTTGACGCGGTGGCTCCACACCGGATGTGTGAGGCGGCTCATCACATGAGAACCCAACAACTATGCCCGTGTCTCTGCAAGTGACATGCGCCAATGCGACAAAGCCCAATTAAGGCAACCGCAACCGTTACGGCAGCCTTTGGTTAGGTCTCAATCTGCGACGCCGTTGTCATAATGTAGCGTTCGACCGCCGGCCGAAAACTCCATCACAAATCGATCGCACTATATTGATCGGAGCTGAAAATGCCTTCTCAAAATATCGCAGTGCTATTGATGTCGAAACCATGGAGCTGAGGAACGTTTTCAGAAGGGCGAACACGACCTCGTAACTTCTACCCAACTGCGACGTCAAGCTGGCTCGGACCTCTTGTTCAAACGAGCGTTACTCGACCGCTTTAGCCATTACCGCTGCAGCCAACACTTGATAAACGACTTCCACTAGGACGTTACTTCACCTGAAAAAAACTTATAATGACCGCAATTACACACCACAAATCCCTCCCAAAACAGAACTCCGTGACCGAAGACTACGGGAAACACGTCCTCGCTACGCCATCCAGATGCATCAATACTGCTGCGGGAAAAACTCCTGCGGTTGAAACTTCTCCGTGTTTTGAACACAAAAGCGCCTTGAATCAGTGATCTTAGAAAAGGCACTGAGTATTGAGAAATCATATATCACAAG